TCGGCCATAGGCCTCAGTATGTGGACCTCGGTTACGATTACAGGCCTCGGTGAAGGGGGCATGCCTCGGATTGGAGGGCTTCGGCCATAGCCCGCCTCGGCAATATATACCGCCTCGGCTGGAATGCCATGTGGTTCGGTCTGAGTGGGCCATTGGCTCAAGTAGGTTGGCTAAGTATAACAATACGCAACAGAATCTATACCAATAATTCAAAATAATTTTAAATCTCAATCATTACTTTAAGAGAAAAATAAAACGAACTTATAATTCGACTATTACTTTAGTTATATCACCAATATTGAGTCTACAAAATTCTCTTTAGACTAAATTAGACGCTCTCAATAATCTCTATTTCATCAAGAATTTAATTCTTTTAGTTCGTGAAAGATCTGTCCAATTTTTTACATAAAAAAGAAGCTTTTTATTATTATTATTATTATTATTATTATTATTATTATTATTATTATTATTATTTTATAAATGCTATATGCATTGATTGAAAATAAAGTAAAATGAAAACTCGTACAATAATTTGTGTTAGAAAACATGATTGTTCATGTCTACTCATGTTCTTTTGGCTTTCTTGGGTTGGATTGCCTCTACTCGAAGTCAAGGAAACATAAATAATCAATGAGAAATAATGATTTTGTATTTATTTTTTTGTTGTATAATCATTGGAGGATGGTAAGGATACTAAAAAAATACTAGAAATTTTAAATTAGTCGAATTTAAACATGTTTTTACGCTGTAAATTTGTTTGAATACTTTGAAATCATTTAATTATGATTATTCAACTTAAATATTGGAATAAATAATTAGAAAATTATAGGAAAACATTATTTTCATAATCTACACTTAAAGGGGGGGGGGGGGCCCAAATATACGTAGATGATTATTTAAAATCTATTAATTCTTAGTAGGAAGATTCCATACAAACAGTTCATAATAAATTATGTGATGTAACTTAAACTAATAATAAGCGTACAAATTAAATTAAGTTTGTATGTCTCATTGTGTGTTTGATGTCTTAGATCTGACACGATACAATAGTTAACAAATTTTGTCATATATATTTCTTTCTATTCAGTCATGTGTATTAAATGCATTTTTAAAGTTCAATTTGACCCGACTTTATTTTATTTTGCGAAAGACATATGATTGAACGTGTTCATATCATATATTTTAGAATTCTTAAGTAATTAAATATACTTTATTCGATTCATTATTACATTGAACTTTCAAGGTAAACTACATCAATGGTGGGGTGTGGTCAAATTAAAGTTCTGGACAATCTTTCTTTAAGGACAACTTTTGGGTATTTGAACTTGCAAATCAAGCATAATATGCTGCATTTTTTAATTATAACTTGTTCGGCCATGTTCGGTTGTAACTTTTTTGGATTAATTTCGGCAGTCAAATCTGCATTTTTGTTACCCCTTTTTTTTTTTCTGATGAGAGTAAATGTTAAAGAAATTAATCTTTTTCTTGATCAAAGGGCGTGGGAGTAGCCCAACGACGCGGGACGGTGAAGTTCGGAATCCAGAGGATTGTTCGTGATCCGATTGTACAATAATTACCAACCGGTATTCGTAGATGTTTATGTAAATATGTGTAAACTCGATTTGTGTATTGCAAGTAGACGAGAGAGAGAGAGAGTTGAGTAAAGTCTAATTCTTTGTATTGATTCTTGCATTAGTCATTTGATATTACACAAGGAAAGTATTTATAGTGATACATGTGAAATGGGAGCCCTTGGATGAGGTGGCACGTGATCTCATCTCTTTGATTCAAATATCTTATCCTAGGCAGGGGGCTTGATTTGCTAGCTTACTGCGCATTGATTGCTTGTGCAGAACCTCCATGCTAGTGACAAGACTTGACCTTCATGCTTATGACAAACGTTCCATCAATATTCGAATAAGATCTTTGTGTAGACGATCTCTTGGGAGAAGTGACCATGGAGGACGCTCCCATGTGGTTCGGAGGCTCCTGCATCAGCTTCGAAACTTCGGCCATTTCATACAATACTCCCACTTGAGGGCTTCGGCTAACTTCAACCAACTTCCGCATCATGGTGTCGGCCATAGGCCTCAGTATGTGGACCTCGGTTACGATTACAGGCCTCGGTGAAGGGGGCATGCCTCGGATTGGAGGGCTTCGGCCATAGCCCGCCTCGGCAATATATACCGCCTCGGCTGGAATGCCATGTGGTTCGGTCTGAGTGGGCCATTGGCTCAAGTAGGTTGGCTAAGTATAACAATACGCAACAGAATCTATACCAATAATTCAAAATAATTTTAAATCTCAATCATTACTTTAAGAGAAAAATAAAACGAACTTATAATTCGACTATTACTTTAGTTATATCACCAATATTGAGTCTACAAAATTCTCTTTAGACTAAATTAGACGCTCTCAATAATCTCTATTTCATCAAGAATTTAATTCTTTTAGTTCGTGAAAGATCTGTCCAATTTTTTACATAAAAAAGAAGCTTATTATTATTATTATTATTATTATTATTATTATTATTATTATTATTATTATTATTATTATTATTATTATTATTATTATTATTATTATTATTATTATTATTATTATTATTATTATTATTATTATTATTATTATTATTATTATTATTATTATTATTATTATTATTATTATTATTATTATTATTATTATTATTATTATTATTATTATTATTATTATTATTATTATTATTATTATTATTATTATTATTATTATTATTATTATTATTATTATTATTATTATTATTATTATTATTATTATTATTATTATTATTATTATTATTATTATTATTATTTTATAAATGCTATATGCATTGATTGAAAATAAAGTAAAATGAAAACTCGTACAATAATTTGTGTTAGAAAACATGATTGTTCATGTCTACTCATGTTCTTTTGGCTTTCTTGGGTTGGATTGCCTCTACTCGAAGTCAAGGAAACATAAATAATCAATGAGAAATAATGATTTTGTATTTATTTTTTTGTTGTATAATCATTGGAGGATGGTAAGGATACTAAAAAAATACTAGAAATTTTAAATTAGTCGAATTTAAACATGTTTTTACGCTGTAAATTTGTTTGAATACTTTGAAATCATTTAATTATGATTATTCAACTTAAATATTGGAATAAATAATTAGAAAATTATAGGAAAACATTATTTTCATAATCTACACTTAAAGGGGGGGGGGGGGCCCAAATATACGTAGATGATTATTTAAAATCTATTAATTCTTAGTAGGAAGATTCCATACAAACAGTTCATAATAAATTATGTGATGTAACTTAAACTAATAATAAGCGTACAAATTAAATTAAGTTTGTATGTCTCATTGTGTGTTTGATGTCTTAGATCTGACACGATACAATAGTTAACAAATTTTGTCATATATATTTCTTTCTATTCAGTCATGTGTATTAAATGCATTTTTAAAGTTCAATTTGACCCGACTTTATTTTATTTTGCGAAAGACATATGATTGAACGTGTTCATATCATATATTTTAGAATTCTTAAGTAATTAAATATACTTTATTCGATTCATTATTACATTGAACTTTCAAGGTAAACTACATCAATGGTGGGGTGTGGTCAAATTAAAGTTCTGGACAATCTTTCTTTAAGGACAACTTTTGGGTATTTGAACTTGCAAATCAAGCATAATATGCTGCATTTTTTAATTATAACTTGTTCGGCCATGTTCGGTTGTAACTTTTTTGGATTAATTTCGGCAGTCAAATCTGCATTTTTGTTACCCCTTTTTTTTTTTCTGATGAGAGTAAATGTTAAAGAAATTAATCTTTTTCTTGATCAAAGTTACTTATTTTGACACTAAGATAATAATAATATATCGTCAAAATAAGTAAATTTCCTTTACTTAAAGTAACTTTTTTCTTAATTTTATTTAAGATTAACCAAACATGATATTTTCTTAATTTGATCATATCAACTGATAACATTTGTCTAGGTGGGTCGCACACATGCACGTTATTGGCCCTAAAATTACAACCATAATTTCATAAGCGTCCCTATAAGTATGGCTGCCATACCAGTTTAAAATGAGAGTTTCACAACGTAATCATTTTGGCCTCGGTACTGTGAGAATTTTTTACGATGAAGAGAACTCCATCAACACGTTATTCGTGTAGTTTAAATTCTTAGATGAGATGACTTAATATAAAACCATGGAAATGTCATGGGTATAAGTTTCACCCTATCTTACACAAAAATATTTACGTATTTCACATAATTTGATGAAAGAGCTCTGTGATGGTTAATCTCTCATTACAAGCTCGAATAGCAGCTACATACCTTGCAATTTATTGGAGAGATGGAAACTTCATGTGAATGGATACACGTGAAGATACATATATTCATAAAACTTGACCTCGCTAGGTGTCAAATGTACGTGGCCCCACCTTGTGACCTCTATTGGGTTGTCTAAGGTCACATAAATTAGCCCAGAAAAAACTGCACTTACATGTGCATTTTCACAGGGACCTTACAGGCCCCACATGTAAAAAATAAAAAAATAAAAAATTGTGAGACCCGCTTTGTGGACCCGCCCCTTGCCCCACCTTGTGACCTCTAGTGGGTTGTCTAAGGTCACATAAATTAGCCCAGAAAAAACTGCACTTACATGTGCATTTTCACAGGGACCTTACAGGCCCCACATGTAAAAAATAAAAAAATAAAAAATTGTGAGACCCGCTTCCACTTGTTTCTTGCTTGGCAAGGACTTGTCCGTATACGTGTAGCTTCACTGATTAGCCCAACATAATGGAATGATTTTATACTGTCCATTTAAATCAATACATCTCGAACCTTGAACCATCCAAAATGTAACACCTTGACATTCGAGATACTAACGTGTGATGTCATAGTGTCACATTTTGACTGGCTCGAGGTTCGACGTGTTGTGATTTAAATGACTAATTCTACCACATATACATGAAATAGAACCTCAATTCAAAGGAGACATATACTCACGAAAATGATAATGACATTGTCAAATAGAGTCTCTTACAGCCATACATTTGAAGTATAAAACCCGTACCATGCACCATCGTGACCCATATAAACTTAGAGATCATTAAATCCACGGCCATGGTCTCTTCAATAAACCTGTCGAAAAATGTATGCGTGATCGGTGGCGGTCCATCGGGGCTTGTGGCGGCCCGGGAGCTGAGGAAGGAAGGCCATAAGGTGGTGGTTTTTGAACAAAACCATGATGTTGGAGGGCAATGGCTATATGAGCCTAATGTAGAGGATGAGGATCCCTTAGGAAGGCATAATTTCTTGAAGGTACATAGTAGTATATATGCATCATTGAGATTAGTTTCACCTAGGGAAATTATGGGGTTCACTGATTTTCCATTTCTAATGAAAAAAGGGAGGGATATGAGGAGATTCCCTGGCCATAAGGAGCTTCTTTTGTACTTAAAAGATTTTTGTGAATGTTTTGGATTGAAAGAATTGATAAGGTTTAATGTTGTGGTTGAGAATGTGAAGATGTTGGATTATCCTATTCTACATAAGGATTTGAGGTGGATTGTGAAAAGTAAAGAGAAAACTACAGAGAAGGCGGTGGAGGAAGTTTATGACGCGGTGGTTGTGGCCACCGGCCACTACTCTAAGCCGAGGTTGCCAAAAATTAAAGGTTTGCATTATGTTTAAAAGTTACTTTTTTGGAACTACATTTTAAGGAAAGTATCTTTTATTTGACTTTTAAGCACAACAAATTTTTTTAAGAGACTATATGCAATTCTTTTTAATCAATACATGCCGTATTGTCTTCTTAGGAATGGATGCATGGAGAAGAAAGCAAATACATAGCCACATTTACAGGGTACCAGAACCATTTCGAAATGAGGTGAAACAATATTCTTTCAATAAGATATCACAACTTTATCCAAGTTGTCCTGGGAGCAATCCTATTTTTCAATTTAAATTGGTTAAAATATACGAAACTTCTTGCTTTTCGTGGAGATTAGATCCAGTAAACGATATTACACAATGCTCGAATTCCTAAATACTACAATGAACAAAGTTTTAAGGGTTTCATCCTCATTAGTGTTCAGTATTGTATGATCCACCTTATCAAACATTTAGACATTCATACATGTAAATATTTAATTACATGTTCTTTTAATGTAAATCTCAAATTATTTCCATTTAATATTTTAAAAAAAAGGGGTCTTATTTTGCAGGTGTTAGTGGTTGTTGGAAGTTCATTAAGTGGGCAGGACATATCCATGGAGCTTGTAGATGTGGCAAAAGAAATTCACCTAAGTGCGAAGTCTATTAATATTTCAGAAGGCTTATCAAAAGTAGTCTCTAAATATGATAAACTGTACCTTCATCCTCAGGTTTGTTAAATTAAATAATTTTTCATCCATTTAGAGAAAATATATATATTAGTTTTTTTTTCTTTTTTTTTTGGCCGATTTTCAAAATATTGGAAATGTATAATGTGAAAATATAATGTATATTGCAGATTGATTCATTGCATGAAGATGGAAGGGTTTTGTTCATAGATGGCTCATGGCTGATTGCAGACACTATTATATACTGCACAGGGTAAAATGCTATTCTCATAAAGTTTATTATTCAAGGGAAAAAGGAAACTACAGAAAATTTATTAATATTTATAAAGAAAATATAAAACTGATATGTTGTGGAAATTACATAATTTCGGGTAAATTTATACTAAATAATGTGGAATAGGGCCTACCGATGTAAGATTTGATTTTAAAATGGTTTTATTAGAGTTGATAATGACACGACTTGACTTCGCTACAGAGTTCTCAAATGTAAGAGGCAATTGCCGCGTCAAGAGCAGGACTCACCACGTAACCTCTAGTGTGTCATCCCAGTTCAAATGAATTAGCCCAATATGTCAAAAAAGGAGAAAAACTTCAATGCGATGATCTTATATGCACATGTGGTAAAACCGTCAATTTAAATTATGATACATTGGACCCTAAGCCATCTAAAATTCAACATCTCGACGTCCAAGGTGATAATAGAGAGAAACAAAGTGTGTGTATAATGCCGATGTTTCACATTTTTAATGGCTTGATCGAAGTTTCATGATTTGGATGAATGATCTTACCATATATTCATATAGGACGTCCTATCAAAATATCTTTTCAAAAAATGGTCATGTTAGATTAAGGGTGGCTAGACACGGACCACCTCAAAATTTGATCGACACTTGTATTTCAGTAATATGTATAGAATAATTTATGATTTTTACGTAAATCAATTTAGTATGTCAAATTATTACAAAGAAATGAATCCAATAATTAACAGATACAAGTGGGCAAATGCAGGTACTCATATTCATTTCCATTTCTTGACACCAAAGGCATGGTAGTAGTTGATGATGATAGGGTGGGACCCCTCTATGAACACACATTTCCTCCTTCACTAGCCCCTTCCCTATCCTTCGTTGGCATCCCAAGAAAGGTGAAGTTTTTATTTCTTACATTTTCTAAAATATTCTAAATTACAAACAAAATAAACTCGAAAAACTTGCAAACGTAACACGAGCCATAAATTTCGGTCTATATGTATATGAATAGTTCATGACTTGTTTATCAGTCGAGTTTTCCTTTTTTTTTTTTTTTAGGGGCGTTTTAGTAATTTTTGGCTTGTAAATTTCTATAGCTTATAGGGTTTCCTTTCTTCGAATGCCAAGCAAAATGGATATCTCAACTATTGTCTGGGAAAACAACATTGCCATCATTTGATGAAATGATGCAGTCTATTGAGGAATTTTATTATTCAAGGGATGTTGCTGGCATTCCAAAGCACAATACTCATGATCTTGCAGATTTTGAGGTAAATTATTATTATTATTATTATTATTATGATATATATATATATATACCTCTTTACTATTTCCATAATTCACTATGAATTTTAGTGCTATATATACATAATTGTTTACATAATATTGTCCAAAATTACACATGGCACTAAATACAATCTTTAAGTCAAATTTCGTACTTGCACATCAACAATCGAATGATTGTCACATCATATTATGGACATTATTATGTACAAATAGAATTTTCTTTCCAATAAGGAATGACGTCTTTTAGATGGATGAACTAATGCATCAATATTTTGTCCTTTGTACTTTATGCCTCGCAACACACTGTTCTTATGGAGATAAAATTGTCGAAGACCAAATTTAAATGAATAAATGTGTTATCTCTTAACTAATTCTAAGATGTGTGGTTCAACTTGATATCGGAGCATAGATGTCACGAATTAAAGTTTTGTTGTCACATATTTATGAAAATTGTGCAGCTATTAGGTCTTTGATGATAAAAATGAATATGCCTGCATGCGAGGGTGCGTTCGAAGAAATTCAATCATATATTTTTTTTAAATTTGATTCCATTTTTCTTGCAGTATTGTGATAAATATGCAGATTACATTGGTTTTCCACATTTGGAAGAATGGAGGAAAGAACTCTGTCTTTCAGCCCTAAAAAGTTCTGATGTCAACTTGGAAACTTATCGGGATTCATACGAAGGCGAAGAGATGCTTAAAGAGGCATATGAAAGCCCGCACTTCATTCAGCTCAAGGCCGAGGCTTTCATCCATGAGGCTCACATGCCGACTTCTATGCCAATATGAGTAGTTTAATTCATTACTACTTCGTGATGGCGTTTGAAATTGTTTTTGCAATTTTTCTTATAAACTTTTTTGTAAAGTACTTTAGCCTTTGCACAGTTTATGAAGCTTGCTCAGTAGGTACCAAGGAAAAAAGGAAGTCATCTGTGAAGGCTGAATTATTTTATTTTTTATCACAAATTCCATATTTATTATATATAAATTAATTGTTTTTATTATTTGTAATTGCAAAAGCTCAAGAAGATACTCAATCTTAGGTCAAAGAAGGTAGATGTACTTTCAAGAATAATTATTAATAAGTGTGTTTTTACACACTTATTTACTGTCTAAATATATTATTTATTAATTAAATGAATATAATTCTATTCACAATTATGTAATATTTGTTTTTATTGGCCAAAAATCACCTAAGGAAAGAGAACAAAGCAAAAGGAGGAAAAAGGACTAAAAGTGTGCAATTTTGTGAAGTGTGGACCAAGATGCAAAAGTCCAAAAGTTCAAGGACTAGAGTTGCAATTTTGGAGGGCAAAATTGTAATAAAAGTCAAAATTTGAGGACCAAATTTGTACAAATTCAAAGTTGAAGGATCTAACGTGAAAATACATTGAGGACCTAAGCTACAAATAATGAAAAATTAGAGGTGGCACTGTAACGGCCCCGTGACACCACGGCTCTGTCCACTATGGCGCTGCAGCGCCGCGGCACCATGGTTGCGTATCAGGACCTGTTTGGCTAGATTTTTTAATTAAGGACCATTTTCCAATTATCCAAACATGATTTTTGGGCATTTTAAAAGGCAAATTCAACCATTTTCTTCATTATTCTTCACCTTAAAAGAAAACCCTAGCCTCTCTTCTTCTTAGTTTTCTTTCTCTTTTCTTTTTCTCTTCTTTTTCTTTTCTTTTCCTTGGTAATTTTGGGAGCAAATCATAGAGCACAATGAGAAAATATTTAAAGATTTGGAGAAATATTTGGGAAAATCAATGTCAAGCTTCAAATTGGGTTGTATCTATAACTTTGTATTCTCTTAATTATTTTGCCATGTTTGCAACGTACTGTGTAAAATATTCTCTTTTATTCATTTATATAATATGGGCTAAGTTATTTGTGTTGGGATTTATTGCTGTAGTTTAATTTAGCCTTGATTAAATTCAATATTTGCCCTTTGATATTAATTTTAATATTTACCCTTCAAATTGGGCCAATGAATGATTGTGTTTAGTGAATTGTACATTGTTCAAAAGAAGATTGTGCATTTTAGACCAAATAGTAGAAACCCTAGGTTTGTGTAGAGGATAGAGATATACATCTAACTCTAAGTGACCCAATGAGCTATTTTCATAAATATTTAATGCAATTATTTGATTTTAATCGACATAGAGATATATTATATTAAATCAATCAATTAGGGTTAATTTGACTCGAGAGAGGTAATTAACTAAAATTGAAAATTCGAGTCTAACATCGTAAATGAGTAACTTTTTAATTGGCTTGTGGAGAAATTTACTAGGCGACGGTTAAATATAACCATAAATCCTAACCACATTTGCTTCCGGAAATTCCCAATATTTTCATATTTCTTGTTTTGTAGATTTTTAGTTATTTTCCAAAATCATAATCTTTATTGTGTGTGTTTCTTTTGTTAGAATTAAATTAATTAGAGTTGTTTAATCGAAAGTATACATTTCTTGACGGATCGGCAACTCGGACTCAAAAGGTCCATTTTATTACTTGAACGCGACCCCTGCGTTTGGGGCATGTAGTATTTTAGCGAACAAGTATTAGGATAAAGATATTTGTACAAAATGTTGTTGAGAAAATGATGTACTCACTCTTAAAAAATTAACGAACCCTACGTGAATTTAAAAAATTTTCGCTTGTGTTCCCCACCCCTATTGTGAGTAGTAAGGGAATTTGTAAAAAAATTTGTACACATAGCATCTTCCTAATTATTAATGTTGGATACGTAGAACAACCATTGTTTGGTGGAGCTGAAAATTACAAATGCATTTAGATTTATTATCAACACAAACTTGCTTTCTTCACATAAATAAATTTTGCTCTGTTATAAATATGCAAAATACAATATTAACTGACATACTTGATGCATAATCCATAACTAACCACAGATATTAATTGTGCTGCCTTCTCATCCCTAATTTCCAGTTTTTCTTCTTCAAGTGCATACAGGGAAATTGTGGCAACAGAAATATGACATCAACCAGTTTTAGAATTAAATCGAATCTGTACAAGAATATCCATGATCAAACAAACCAGTCACTACAAAACATTCTGCTAGAGTATGATAAGTTTTCCTATAATTAACAGAAGTTTAACTTCATTCATTCCCCATGAGCCAACTAGACTAATGATGATTTTTTCTGGCTCGACCTCCTCGACGTTTCTTCATCTTCCCCCAGCCAATCAAGTTCTCCAGAAAGCCCTGTTTACTGCAAGTAGCAGGCTGTTTCAAAATGGAACTCACTGATTTCTTCACACGATTTGAAGGCCGTAAATTGGAATGGTTCTTTTGTTTTGCAGAAGTCTTCTTGATTGCATCTCTCCTCCGTGCACCTGTTCTGAGGAATCCTTTATTCATTTGAATGTCCTCTTCTACTTGAAAGTCCTTGCGCAGCCTTGTTCCCCGCGCTCTTCCCCTGCTTGGCTGACCCTGCAATGTAGTATCAATTGTTTCTTTCTCTTTCTGAACGTTTAGACAAAAATAATTACCGTGGCTTTGGTGCAGATTCAATGTCATTGACTCGTAATCGTCAATGCCATCACTTGAAACCTCAGTTTGATCATTGTCGGTAGAACCTTCCTGGAGTTTCTCAACCTCATGCAGCACTTCACTTCCCATGAAAGAAACGATCCCAGCAAACCAATACAGACGGTCATCTGAGTTGTCTAGTGGTGCACTACATCCAGACTTCAAATGCAGTTGACCTATAGATGATGAAATCAAAATCAAAGTCTCTGCAGCAATCCTATCAAGTTCGATGAATGGTTCTCCATCCCGGTTGGGCAGAAAGGGAGGTGTCTGCAGTTCGCAGTTCTTAGATTTTTCTCTCTGCGAAGAACACTCCAAGTCAATCTCCATATCATTTCCACCATTTTGACTTGGCACTGCTGGTGAAGGCTCATCCCCAGTTACACCACTGTTCAAGTCAATGTCAGTGTTAAATGTCGAAAATTCATCAACAATCTCAGCATCTGATTTTGCTCTTCCATCGGAATTTTCAAGTTTAGTTTCTTCTTCCATATTCCTGGCATTTTCCAGAGTAATTGTCGTCTCTGATAAACTGAGGGGCATCGAATTTAGATCAATAAGGCGTGCATAATTTATACCACCTGAGCCCTTATCGCAATTCACATCCTGATCATGGAGCACAATCTCTATGTGGCTGGTGTCAGTTTCAAATGGACAAGTGGAATTTGAACCCAGTGATTCAAGCTGTACAGGTTCATTCAAGTCAATCAAACAATTGATTTTAGTGCAACTTAAATTAGAACTAGAAGAATATGCAGGCTTAACAGAGTCAAGTTTCTTGAGAACACTAGAGAGAACGTCAGATGCTACGTTAAAATTTCCCTCTTCAAAGTACTCTGCTTCTTTATCATCATTGTACACGTCAGCTGGAAGTTCAAGATCCAAGAGCTTCTTGCCACATCTTTTACTTTGGGATGACAGTGTTTCCAGTTCAGTCGAACTGTTTTTCGTTAAGGGCAGGCCAGCTTCTCCTTTTACACTCTTTTTTGCAACAAAAGGATGAGGTTCTTGAAAGCTGTCCGCAGTTACTGAATACAACTTGCTATCTGAAGAATTTCCAAATAGCCAGCTGGGCGTATGTGAAACCCTATGAGTAGTGTCAGATTGGACCTGACATAAATCCGGATATGATTCCGATGTATGCAGTTGTACATGTTGCGTGGAGATTTCTCTCTCCCGCATTTCGTCCATCAGCTCCTTTTGTCTTTTGTATAGACGATGTAGTTCCTGGACCTGCGAAAGACTACTCATTCAAATGTTCCGTTTCGATTTGGTCACAAAATGCGAAACAACAATTTGTTAAAAATAATAAATAAAATAAAAATAAAAATTGAAAGCATTCGCACAATTCTGTAGCAGATTAGAAGTTTAATAGGTATAGCTTTGACGAGAATCAAGTCAATAATATAGCGACTCTGCAAAGAAAAATAAATGAAAAAACAAAAGGAAGAATTTCTGTACCATAATGTGATTGTATTCGTAACAGTTAAAAGTTTCAAATTGTACGTACCTGAAGTCTAAATGTGGCTTCATGCTCAAGCATTTTTTGTCTCATTACTTCCTTATTATATCCTAAATATTGGTCCACGCTACAAGGTGGCAATGAAATATTGTAGCTTCTCCCATTTCTTTGAGAAATATCGTCACTAAATACAGGCCAAGAAAAGTCATTTGGACCTGCATTAAGATTCGTCGCATAGTAATATACAGGGACGTAACTTGTACACTGCATTTTTGTTCGATCTCTCTTAAGCGACCTGAAACAAAGGAAAAGAAAGTTTTGAGTATTTTATGCATGATAATGCACTCAGACATTCGATTATTTCACACATTCACTTAGCCAACTATTTCATATAATAAACAGTCGGCATTTAGACAACAAAAAAATTGAACTCGCTGAGAAATTCAATCTTTGTAAAATCCAGCGTATCTTGCTTTACAGACAAGAAAATCGACCTTTGAGAAATATCGTCACTAAATACAGGCCAAGAAAAGTCATTTGGACCTGCATTAAGATTCGTCGCATAGTAATATACAGGGACGTAACTTGTACACTGCATTTTTGTTCGATCTCTCTTAAGCGACCTGAAACAAAGGAAAAGAAAGTTTTGAGTATTTTATGCATGATAATGCACTCAGACATTCGATTATTTCACACATTCACTTAGCCAACTATTTCATATAATCATAAACAGTCGGCATTTAGACAACAAAAAAATTGAACTCGCTGAGAAATTCAATCTTTGTAAAATCCAGCGTATCTTGCTTTACAGACAAGAAAATCGACATCGTAAGAATTCTAATCCATATAACCAGTCAACATTGATCCATTCACGTCAATGCATCAAAACTATGGCTAAGAGATATTTTCATTTGCCTTAGACTATGCATAACCTATTGTCTTGAGGAGAGATTACTTTGTTCATTCTCATTTTCTTCTCCTTTTTCGATTTTATTCAACTTTCGGTTACCTCAACTAGTAATTTACATTGTATTTAAGGTTTGCTATGAATTGAATAAAATAGATAAAAAATCTCACAGATAATAACAGAAAAACATATTCAGCAAACCAATCAAGCAATCTATAAACAGGTGAAGTCTAATATGCATATCTACTATCACATGGTAGAGAAACGAAAAGAGGAAAACAGAGAAAATAGTTAAAAACCAAAACACCAAACAGATCAAACACGTAGTCTGAACCGAAGCACTTGGAGTAGAGCATATTTAGACCTGAGAAGTCAACTTCTGTTTTGGATATTTTCTTCTCCTTTTTCGATTTTATTCAACTTTCGGTTACCTCAACTAGTAATTTACATTGTATTTAAGGTTTGCTATGAATTGAATAAAATAGATAAAAAATCTCACAGATAATAACAGAAAAACATATTCAGCAAACCAATCAAGCAATCTATAAACAGGTGAAGTCTAATATGCATATCTACTATCACAAGGTAGAGAAACGAGAAGAGGAAAACAGAGAAAATAGTTAAAAACCAAAACACCAAACAGATCAAACACGTAGTCTGAACCGAAGCACTTGGAGTAGAGCATATTTAGACCTGAGAAGTCAACTTCTGTTTTGGATAAAAAAAAAATTAGCAAAGAAAATAGAGAAATATTTTGCCAAGAAAAACAATGCATCGCAATTATCAGGAAATAAGAATCCCAATTGAATTAAATTGAACATAAACCTCAAGAAATGGTAGATAATTGAAAGTTTAGGGAAAATCATAGAAAAAAAATACTCCAAAACTTCAGATATAATAAAATTCTACAGAGTATTATCTTTGTGATTTAAAAATGCATATTACTGTATCCTACCCACACAGTTTTGTGCTGGCCAAACCGAACCTTTTGCAGGACAAATAAAAAAAAATAATAATAATAATAACAAAATGAGAAAAAATTGCTATAGTATCCCTTTTTCTTGGCATTGAGCAAGAGCCCTCAATTGAAATCAGATTCAGATAGGAGAAGAAGAAGAAGATGAACACTATTCGGCAAATTTCAAAAATAAATATATTTTATGTACCATTATGAAATTCATTATCATCAAAATAAAGGTTTTCATCATAGTGCACGGATCAAATCATTAAAAGCATCAGCTCAACAACCCATCTCAAGCTCTTGACCAGAAGGAAAAAATGAGAAGAAAAAAAGGAGGAGCTCTCAGATAAACTTACACACACGGAGAAAGGACAAATGTTCAAGATGAGAAAATTGAGAACAACAAATCAAGACCCATGAATGATTTATCTCCAAAAGTTGAGAAATTTAGAGAATTTTACCTGAGGCAGAGCCAAAACCTCACTCAAAATCCTCTGATTCAAGTACCCAGTACAGAATCTACTTATCCACACCAACTCATTACATTGATGTACAAGAACTGAGAGTTATAAAACACAAACGCCATTAAAAAAAAAAAATCCACGAGAAAAATTCAGTGAAAGCCCCAGAAAGCAACTCAACAAAGCGGTTCAGACATTCATAAAGCTGGCAACCTAACAAATAAGAATCATATATGGGATTTAAGTGTGTGTTTTGGAAAAGGAAAAGGAAAAGGAAAAGGAAAAGGCCATAAAAGGAGTCTAAGAAATGAAGGCATTTGGATCTGCTGGGGCCACACTTTACAATGAAATTTGTGAGAGAGAATAACTTACATAGGAAGAGACATGGGATTTTGTCAATATATGGGGCCCCTGCATTTTGGGGTTCCTATCTTCAAATTAATATCTGATTTTGGATTTCTTTGTTTATTAAAAAGACGAATTGGGATGCTTGTACTCCTTTCTTTCCAATACATTTCCTGCAAATTTCTTGGGAAAGGATTAGAATACAGACAAGAAAGGAAAATATTATCATCTTCTAGATAGCATCTTAATTTGAGCTTGTGTTTTAAAACTCGACCAGTCGAGCAAAATTAAATTAGTTCTTCTTACCCCATTTTTAAATGAATAGGTTCTTTTTATATAAAAATTTGAAGACTTGAACAACTTTAAGAGCCGTCGTGCCACAGTTAGTAGCCAATCGAGAGACATTGTAGAAAACTTAATGCGAGGAGTTTTGTTGGGATATATTTTTGGAAAAGAAGATAAAGTAGACTCGAGTTTTGTAAACTAAGATAGTGTCTCCACAGACAAAGACAATGTAGTGTTATTGAAAAGAAATATGACTACGTGTGACTTGGTGGCTGTAAAATTAACACAGAAACTAGTTTGCCAATAGAGTCGAGCTAATCTAGCAGAGAGGCATTAAGGGTGATGGTTATTGTTAGGATCTTCGTCTAGCTACTCAAAGTGATTTTCGGGCTCAATTAACCATTAAACATCGAATTCAACACCAAAACCGAGATGATCGACCGCCGGCGCCCTTACCCTAATGCGAGGAGTTTTGTTGGGATATATTTTTGGAAAAGAAGATAAAGTAGACTCGAGTTTTGTAAACTAAGATAGTGTCTCCAAAGACAAAGACAATGTAGTGTTATTGAAAAGAAATATGACTACGTGTGACTTGGTGGCTATAAAATTAACACAGAAACTAGTTTGCCAATAGAGTCGAGCTAATCTAGCAGAGAGGCATTAAGGGTGATGGTTATTGTTAGGATCTTCCTCTAGCTACTCAAAGTGATTTTCGGGCTCAATTAACCATTAAACATCGAATTCAACACCAAAACCGAGATGACCGACCGTCGGTGCTACCTTCTTCCTATGGTTGCTATTGCTCTTTTGCTTGTTGATTCTACCACACACTTAGGATGGATACCACACAGGTAAGAGTCACAGAGCCTCAAGCAATTGGTAGGGAAGACTAATTAATAGGATGCATGAAGGAGAAGAAGAAGATGACTGCCTCTAACTCTCGGGATCTCTCACGCACGGCACAAAGGAGAAGGAGAGAATTACCAATATATATATTAGTCCAAAGACCACTTAAGGTAAGTTATAATATGGTGAGTAGGCTCGACTAGGGTTAAGTCCCAATAGCAAAACAACAAGCCACAAAGATTATTAGCCGTCCAACAGGTAAAGCAACGCTAGGTCAGTTCATCCATTATTCGGTGTTGATTTATCGTTCAGTCATTCAGGTCGACTGATAAAATTGGTTTTCATCATCGCCCTGGAGGTCGTTTGACAACATGATGTCTAACAACCTCCACCTTGGTGTCAAAGGACCTGCAAAGAAAAACGTTTTCTATTAGCGACACCTCTAACAGAAAATCGATAAAATTGAAATCATTTACCTGTACCGATGTTTAGAAGCTCCTTGCAACTTCTAAACTTTACCAGTGGCAGCACTTTCGTGCCCATATCTGAAGGATTATATTGTGTGTGAATTTTTTCAAGTCTTACTACTTATTGTGATATTATATCCCTAATAAAGTGTAACCTAACATCGATATGTTTAGCGCGTTCGTGAAAAAAGGATTTTTACATAGATGTATGGATGACTGACTATCAGAGTACACAACCACATACTCATTCAAGACACTCAGTTCATGAAACTGAAGGATTATATTGTGTGTGAATTTTTTCAAGTCTTACTACTTATTGTGATATTATATCCCTAATAAAGTGTAACCTAACATTGATATGTTTAGTGCGTTCGTGAAAAAATTTCACGTCTTCTTTATTAGCACTAAATTTTATACCTACGTCACTTGTACCCTTCAAATTTCTTAAAAGCCACTTTAATGCTTCCCAATGTTCAGGACCTGGATTAGACATGTACCTACTGAGAGTACTAATAGCGAATCCTAAGTCCGGTCTAGTGCAAACCATCAAATACATTATGGAACCAATCACATTTGAGTATGGAATTTTACTCATGTATTCCATTTCACGTTCATTGCAGGGAGCTTGTTCTTTAGATAGAACAAAATGGTTTGCAAGAGGCAACGTGACAGGTTTGCAGTTACTCATATTAAACCTTTTCAACACCTTTGATATGTATGGAGACTGATGCAAGAATACGATGGAATTTGACCTATTTCGTTCTATTTCTATGCCTAGAATCCTTTTAGCCTTTTCTAGGTCTTTCATGTCAAATTCTCCACTAAGATCTGCTTTTATATTGTTTATCCACTTAGGAGATGATCCAACTAAAAGCATGTCGTCCACATAGAGCAACAAAAACAAATAATTGTTGTCAGTCTCGTTGTGTTGAAAGTATAGGCAGTGATCAAATTTACTTCTTTGAAATCCTATAGTGAGTACAAAGGAATCAAACCTTTTGTACCACTGTCTAGGTGATTGCTTTAGACCGTATAGGGATCTTTTCAGAAAACACACATAATCAGGTTTTAACTTATCTTTAAAACCTTTTGGTTGATTCATAAAGATTTGTTCATCAAGCTCTCCATGTAAAAAAGCGATTTTTACATTGAGTTGTTCAAGTTCCCAGTCAAAGAGCGCAACCAATGCGAGCATGACCCTAATAGTAGTGTACTTGACAACTGGTGAGAAAATCTCGTTATAATCAACACCTTCTTTTTGTGTGTAACCCTTTTGCTACTAATCTAGCCTTAAATCTTAAGGGTTCTGTACTACTAGTACCTTCCTTAACCTTAAAGACCCACTTGCAATCAACGATTGATTTATTCTTAGGTCTCGGTACTAACTCCCAAGTTTAATTCTTTTCTAGAGAACTCATCTCTTCTTTCATAGCCTTAAGCCACTCCTTAGATTGACCACTATTCATAGCCTCTTCAAAAGTTTCCGGCTCCTTGTCAACTAGTTCTTCGTAACTAGCCTATGCAAAATCTAATTCAGATTCATACCCGAACCTTCTAGATTCTCTCGTTTGTCTTCTCTCTCTATCTTTAACTAAATTATAGTTAGCTAATGGATTTTCTTCCTCAGGATGCTCTTCTATTACTACTTCATTTTCCTCTTCAGGTTCTTGGACCTGAATCTCCACCTCACTCGAAGTACTAGGTACTGATGTGTTAAATTTTCCTAACTCCACCTTAAACCGATTTCTTTCTTCACTTGATTCAGTTTCACTTACAGGTTCGGTTTCGTTCTTTAGACAAGGCATCTCACTCTCATTAAATGTGACATCCCTACTCACGATGATCTTAACTCTTTTTTGGCTTCTATCCTATAGCCTATAGCCTTTAACCCCTTCGGGATATCCTAGAAAGACACGCTTCCTGGCTCTAGATTCTAACTTTCCCTCACTTTGATGAAAAAAGGCAACACAGCCAAATGCTTTAAGCATTGAGTAGTCACCCAATTTTTCAGACCATTTCTCATGTGGAGTATCACCATTTAATGCAACCGATGGAGTCAAATTTATTAGATAACAGGCAGTGACAACGGCTTCACCCCAAAATGACTTAGGAACCCCAGAACTTAACATCATGCAGCGCACTTTGTCTAGTATGGTCCTATTCATTCTTTCTACTACCCCGTTTTGTTGGGAAGTATAAGGAAACGTTTTGTACCTTGTTATTCCACTTTCTTTACACATCCTATCGAATTCAGCATTACAGAATTCTAGGCCGTTATCTGTCCTTAAAAATTTGATCCTCTTGTTAGTTTGGTTTTCCATTTGTTTCTTCCAGTTATTAAAGTTATGGAAGGTTTCAGTTTTTTCTTTCAATAGATAGACCCACACTTTCCTGGTGTAGTCATCTATGATAGATAGGAAATACCTATTCCCACCCGATGTGGGATTATTAGCAGGACCCCACAGATCAAAATGCACATATTCAAGCATGCTTTTAGCCTTATGTGTACTAGTGGAGAACGACACACTATGGTGCTTTCCAAGCACACAGTGATCACAGAACGATAGGTCAGACACACAGTCATTACCAAATGCACCTTTTTCATTAAGTAGCTTAAGTCCTTTAATGTTTACGTGTGCAAGCCTACTATACCACGTATGTGTGTGATCGATTTTGGCGGAAGAAATAGAGGAGTTTAATCCTCTAATCACTTCCCCAGTAGTGATGTAAATGTCGTTTTTCTTGATTCCCTTAATAGAGATTAACGCACCCTTCATCATTTTAAACATACCGTTTTTAATTTTACCAGTGAAGTTGTCTTTCTCAAGTCTTCCTACTGAAATCAAATTCCTAGATAATTCCGGAATGTATCTAACTTCCTTTAACATGTATACAAAGCCTGTGTTAAATTTTATCTTTATATCTCCGATTCCAGCAATTGTATAGGCGAAGTTATCACACAGAACTACTTGCCCATCATTAGATTCTTGCAAGTTTTCAAACCAGTTCTTTTCAGATGTCACATGAAAAGACGCACCAGAATCTAATATCCATTCATGCATGTGAGAATTAGCAGTTAGATTTAATTCAGTAGTGTATGCGACTGGACTAGTGATCACATAGACTTCACCGTTTTCGGTATCGAAGGTAGAGGATAACACATTTACCTCATCTCTTTCCTTAACCTTTTGTTTTCCTTTTTCTTTATGACAGTCTTTTATAAAATGCCATGTGCCTCCACAGCCATAGCATTTTCTAGCCTTAGTTCTAGACTTTGACCTAGGTCTACCATTCCCATTCTTTTTCCAACTATTACTACTTGATTCGCCACTACTTTGGTATCCATCATGACTGGCTTGCTTAAATTGAGTTCTACCCTGCATCATATGCAACTCTC